AGAGGGAACATTAATGCTGGGACTCCAAGGAGAATCTGGGGTTTCACATCAAATAGATATTTTAATTAGCTAAAACTTCCAATCTTCAGAAAATGACTAAACAGTTGTTAAAAAAAAGAAGAAATATCCAATCACTGTTTTCCTCAACTTCAACCAAAAGTTCTTACAATGGATCCATTAGCATTTATCATGAATAAAACTGAAGACAAAATATATTTTTTATAAATTTTTAATCCACCATTATTAATTAATGTTTTTTGTACCAATCATAGTTATATAATTTGTGTAGCAGCCTTACAGAAGAGTCTTTCAAGACAAATGAAAGCGATGTTCTAACATTAAAATGAAACACTGAGGAAGATCAAATGTTCTTGCACTAAACCTAAATTTTGAATATTCATCAGAGCAGCAATTATATTAATATTATGCTACATTAAAACAAAAATAAAATCTTACCTTTAACTGTTATTTGAAGAGGATCAGCACAAGCAAGTGCTCTAAATGGATAGTTTTCAATTCTGAATAAATATTTCTCTGCATGACTTGTTGCTAGATTAGGAAACAGGGTGGTGCAGTTTTTCTCTTTCAGGTTTCCAATTATTTCTAGTTGATAGGTGTTAACTGAGCTGCTGCTGTTGAAAATAACATTGTTTAGAGCAATGCCTTTTATCCAAACTCCATAGATACTTCTGCTGCTGTTGAACTCAGTATTCTCTGTCTCATAGGTACATGGGATTTGCAAACAAGATCCAGTCAGAGCTTCCATGTTATTTGGTGTAGTGATCCTGAGGGCTGGTGTTAGACCACCATAACAGTAATCAGCCAAATCACCTGTAAACCAGAATAACAATGAACATAATCTGAAGTAAAATCTGCCTGTAGAGAAAATTCATAATCCACAAACTTCATTTCAGTTTTACTATGTTACATGTGAAGCCTTTAAACAAAATCAGGATCCAACATTTCTGACTACAAATTATTCATGTGTTCGCTCCAAATAGAAGAGAACAAACATCTCACCTGGAAGAAAAAAGACACTCAGTAAGATGTTGACGACCAGCATGTTCTCAGTCAGAGCCGCCATTAGAGTCTTATCTGGAGAAGATTTCACAAGTCTTTTAGTTATGTATTTATTTATTTATTTTATTTATTTATTTTTACAAATAAAGTCCATTTTAGGTAAAGTTTGTATAATGTTTGGAAATGAATTAATACTGCCTTTTATAAAGTATAAAATAAAGAATAACTTACCTTGCCTTCAATACAAGTGGAAGTCGACTCAAATAAAAACATGCCACAAAGTCCATTTAAAAGTCACAGTAACGTAAAGATGTTCTTACCCCATCGATATAAAAGAAAAGCAATGACACAAAATTGCTCCAAACCAGGGAATGTGTAAATATCATCTAGTGAAAAGAAAATCATGCAGACTCCTCTGTGCCGATGTCTTGTGAAATCAAGCAGCTGTGTCTTTTGTTCCTCTTCTAAAAGAGGGTGTCGGGTGATTTTTGTGTGATTGTGCTGCTGAAATAATTTCACATTATAGCAGATTCTCACTGCACTGTAAAAAGAATTTAGTTGAGCCAACTTAATTGACTTGCTTTAATTGGTAACAAGTAATTCAATTAAGTTGATCCAGCTCAATTTACTACGTTTGTTTGTTTTTTTTGTTTGGTTTGTTTTTTAACTGAATTCACTAAGTGTGATTAAAATGACACATTTAAGTCAGTCTTACTCAAATCCTTTAGTTTACTTCAAACAAATAAGGAAACTAATAAACAATCTCTTCTTTACCGGGACGTTTTGACTCAGGCAGCCTTTATTTGAGAATAGTGATTAAGGATTGTGGGTAATGATGGAGAGGGAAGACATGCAGGTTTGATTCCGACCTGATGACCTTTGCTGTCTTATTTACTAAGATGGAGAAACTATTTTCTTCTTTCACTGTACTTCTTTCATTGAACTCAGTTGTTTCAAATAAAGTCAAAATGAAAAGGTCGTTTAAGTTAATTAAATTCATTTAAGTTAGTTAGATTTGTAACTTTTAAGTTAATTGAACAGAAGCAAAGTAAGTTGTCATCAGTAAACCAAATGAATAAAGTGAGATTAATGTCAATAAATCCATAAACTGAACTACAGCCAAAAACACTTTTTATAGTGTAATACATAGAGCACAGAAAAGAAGAAGCACTGCAGATTGTGTTATGTCTCTTGTAATGAGAATAAAAGAAGAACAAGAAAAAGAAGAGGGCTTTTTTTTTTTTACCAACGCCTTTATTTGAAACAGGCAGATATTTAACTACATCTGAAGCATTACTTGCTTGGCAGAGAACAAAGTGTATAAAAATAAAGAGTATATGTTTCCCTGACTTCCCTTTGCACTTATTTTTACTGCGAACAGTCCTGTGTGCACATATTGTTTTTTTTAAGAAGTAGGTTTAGATTTCCACTCAAATATGATTTAAAAAAAAAAACAGCGAGGTAAGAAGGAGCTTTTGATACGTGTGTCCACATAGCTGAGCTGACTTCAAATCTGTGCAACTTATGTGTGGTGTTATTTGTGACTAATAACAATAAAAGATATGAAAATATGAAAAACAAAGCATATTAAAACAGTGAGGTTCTGATTGTAATATTCACCATGAAAGCATTTAGGTCAAAATGATTTAAAACAAAACTATATTTTGAAGTTAAACGTCAGGAGTATGTTTTACTTTGCATGTTATATACCAATAAATTTATTATCTGTGTTTTTATTTGTTTGTTTTGTATATCTGCCATATATATAAATAAATGTGTCCAGACCTGTTGGCTATTGCAACTTCCAAACATTAACATTAAAAAAGATCCTGCTCTAATGTTTTCATTCAAGCAAATATGTTTTGACCTTTAAAATCTTAGTTTGATCTCCTCAATTTGGGATAATATGGCATATTAATAACAAATGTTTCTGACATCCAGTTCATACTTGTTTTACAAAAGTATATATACGTATTATTGTTATAATTATCATATTTAACATTGCATGTTTTACACCTGAAATAGAAAGAGACCTCTTTTTTGACACAGCAATCCACCAAAGCATTAGCGTTCTCCATTAGTACCACAGTGAATTGCAGAAAAAAACTATCAAGAAATAATAAGTGATTTCTAAAGCACAATGAATGGGGATGTGATGAACTGGTGACGCGTCCACAGTGAATCCAGCTTTTCACCGGCTGGTCTTTGCAGATAGAAAATGGCTTCTTGACACACAAACTTGAACAATTGGATAGAAATAAATCGTCTTTCTGACAGAGACTTTGACATCTTCTTCGTTTCTTTGTGGTTCATGATGCTGTAGTCGCCATCACATTGTTGACATAGGTTGGTTCTTCTGGTTCCTGTGGACAAAAACAACAAAATGTATTTTTACAGTAAATGTACTTGAGCTCAAACTGTTTCAGAGTAAATAAAGGTTGGTCTCTTTATTTTGAGTCTCACTAGTTTCTAAACTAAAAGCACAAAACACTATATTTGTCCTTTAATGAGATGGTAAGTTGTAG